TTCCTCCCATCTTCCCTCCCTCCCTCCTCCCTCCTCCCTCTTCGCAAGTTCGACTCCGTCCTGTCGTCGCTCTTTGGCATGCGGTTAGCGTTGCGTATCTTGCGGCCGCACTCGCTCACTCTCACTCTCACTCTCTCACTGTCTCACTGTCTCACTGTCTCTCTCATCTCTCTCATCTCTTTCATCTCTTTCTCATCTCTCTCATCTCTCTCTCCTCTCTCCTCTCTCTCTCTCTCTCCTCTCTGTCTCTCGTCTTTCCGTCTCTCTTCTCTCTCTTCTCTCGCAGGAGGATCCGGGCAAAGAGCCACATATAAAGGACTCTTCACCCCTGCCTCCAAAAAAGAGCGCCGTGTTTTTTCCTACCTCGCTGCCCTCCACTTTCCCATTCTGGAGCGCTAGCTTTCGCCCCCCCCTTGGCCTCAAGTTCTACTGCATCGTGTGCAGTTGTTTTCTTGGCAGACTGCTTTCAACTTGTTTCTGATTTGTTTTCCATAGACAGGGGACGGGAGTCTTTTTTCATCACTGGAGATCAGGCTTTGGTGCTTCGAACGACGAAGGGTGGATCATCCGGGTTTTGCAGTCCCCAGCCAAAGCATGGACCTGCAAGGATGATGATGTTCCTCTACAAAAAAAAATTCCTCGCCGCTTTCGTTTGTCTCGTGAGCGTTGCGGCGCACCAGGTCCATGTCCCAGACGCGACCCATGGGACTGCCATAGATTCCACCCCATTGACCCCCCTGGCACCAAGCTGTTTCCATCGCTCGGGTGTATCATTCTGGAAATGTCCGACCGCCATTCACTCGATGTTGAACTCCTTAACCACGTCACTAAACCCCGTCACTGACGGGTGCCAAGATCAATGATTCAGAGTGACCAAACACAGATTGGTTGGCAGGTTTCTTGAAGACACATTATGAATATTACACTCCCGAAAACTGACATGGACCCTGAGAACGGCCTCAAAGACTGTTTTCCTCTACAAACCAGTGGTTTTCAGGGTCTGTGTTAGTTTTCAGTGGGGTATTAGAAAGCAAGGAAATCTAGAATCTAGAGGTCAGCTAATGTGAGAACTGAATCCGGATGAAATGCTCGATTTGGCCGCTCAGCTGGATGGTTTCTAAAGAACGACAGAATGAAAGGAGCGCTCATACCTCAGGTAGAGCCGCGGGTTTTCAATCCTGTGAACATAGGAGGACTGAGATGTTTTGCTGATGAATCATGAAGACTTTCCAGAAGCTAAATCAAGGATCCAATAATCTTTCAATGGTCTTTAGGTGCTGAACTTGCTATTTTGCCAAGGATTCCAATGCGGACTTCATCCGATTAGCAGACAAGTATGTTGAGGTGCCTTCTGGGAAGAATGACCCTGAGCTGCAAAAAGGTGCAAAGAAAATGTTACAAGAGAAAACACACCAAGAGGTGAGATAGAGTATAGGCATAGGGGTTGTTCTTGGTGGAAGGGGGCAAATAAGGCACTGTAATGCATGCCATGGAAGATGAAATCTGTAAAGGGGTGTTGAAATAGATCACATTCATTTTGACCCATTCCTTTTCAACCCCTCATGCTGTGTACGTGCTGCTTGCCTGGCCTTTCTCGCGACTGTTTGATTTAGTTTTAGTTTAGGCTATTTGAGGTTATTGGCCTGTAAATGTGGTCTCTGATATTGACATCCAAGAAGTCAGTTTCTCTTGAATTCTTGTACTGCATGTTGTTTCGCTTTAAACCCTCACCAACCAACGACTCCAATGATATTGTATATACAGTATGTATCCTACCCGTGTTCAACCACCGGCGGTCGGTTTCTTTCACACACCCCTCGGCTGCGCTTATATCATCCTCAGGTGAACAATTACGCCAATGTGGACCTCATTTGTCAGATTGCGCGCAGTGAACAGGTCGATGCCGTTTGGCCAGGCGAACCAGTCGCGACGTGGACGGTCGAAGCAGTGGCGGAGGGAACCGGTGCGGTGGCGAAGGAGGTGAACCGGTGGCGAAGGACGTGGACGAACAGGGCTCCCAAAAGTGGTGACGTTGGTAGCAAGCCACCAAGCAGAAGAAAGCAGAAGAGTGAAGGTTCGAAGAATGATGGTGTTTCTGTTCGACATGTGTGGGCTCCAAGTCCTTTTGGAAGACTCTCCACTCATCATTTCATGAAGCAAGAGATCAGAATACTTGCTTGGTGCACATGCAGTCATATTTAGTGGATCCCACAGGAGGAGTGAGATTACTGGAGGCATATTTGGGCGTGTATGTGATTGAGAACTGGTCACTCATCTTGGCAATATATGCCATAGAAGCAGTACTGGCGGTGGTATTTCCTATCTCATTCTATCTCAAGTGACCTGCACGTGGTTCAAGCTATCTATGACCTTATAACTAAAAGATTTAGTAAACAGGCACAGTCGTATAACATACTGTATATGACGAACTCTTTCCTTCGTATTCCTTCGATTGGGTTTCCCTCATCGTTGCAAGCACACCATCATCCAAATCTTCGAATGATATTAAAATTAACAAAACGATCCCGCTGGCTGTTTCACAATGTGTCTAATGTTGACTCTTGATTAATCAACCCCCCTCCCCCCCTCAACAACCAAGGCCTCCGAGAAAACCAATCAATTGAGAAATAAATTCAGAATCCTTACTTAGCTACCTCTGGAGCTACTCTGGCAATACTAACATGAAAGGAATCAAGAAACCTAACTTTGAAGAGATTTGGAATTTTAACATGAAAAGGGATCAATGAAACCTCAGATTGAAGACATCTGGAATAATACCATAAAAGGGAATCAATGGAAATTGAACGTAACTCTTTAAATGTCAATGGAAATCTGAATCCAAAGACCTGCAAAGTCATTCAATCTCAATGGAACTCTTCAAAGTTTCAAAGGACTTCTGAATCCAAAGAGCTGCAAACTCATTAAATATCAATGGAACTCTTCAACATTTCAATGGAAATCTGAATCCAAAGACCTGCAAAATCATTCAATCTCAATGGAACTAGAGGGTAAGTAAAGCAAATCAAAAGGCAAAGAGAAGGAATAAAGATAAGTTCCTTTAAAGCTGCAACCCAAATATTGTTGAAGCCTCAAATCTCTAGACATTATTCTAGGTGCCCCCCAAAAAATAATGTCAGAAAGCTGCTTGCTGGACTACCCCCTTTGCTTGAATGTTTTTTTGTTGTGTTTTCAATGCTTTTGAATAAGGGTTTTTGAAAAGAAAGTGCGCACAGACTTTCAGACTTTTTGAAGTTTTTGGAAAGCTTCAAGATTCAAGAGCTTAGGGAAAGTGAAGGAATAGAGGGTAAGTAAAGCAAATCAAAAGGCAAAGAAAAGGAATAAAGATAAGTTCCTTTAAAGCTGCAACCCAAATATGTTTGAAGCCTCAAATTTATGAAAGGGGCAATATTAATTCATAACAATAACACTACAACTACCCCTCCCCCCAAAAAGACATCATTCTGGGTGCCTTTATTCATCTGTGCATGAAAAAAAAGAAGGCCTTTTTTCTAGGGGCGTTGATTCATCAAAAAGGTCAACATTAAGCTTTTCCAATGGGGGCAGCTTCAGTTCGGCCACCAAGTCCCGGTCCCGCCCCGCCTGTCGCTGCCCGGCGTGTCTTCCGGTCCCTCTCCCGGTCTCTAGTTCAGCCCGCAGGCTGGGGTCATGCCTCGGAGAACCCGCGGCTTCCGGCGAAGCTCAAGGAGACGATGTGAATGGAATTCGAGGATTTCGTCGCTTTTGGGGGGTCAAGAAGGGTCAAGAGACCTAGATTCTGGGTTTGTGTAGTGATAGGCTGACGGTTCTTTTTTCCAAGTGACAGATCCGTGTTGGCGGAAAGGTTCACTGAGTAGATGAACTATGTAGTGTACAGTGTAAAGAGTTATACAACACATTAAACAAGTGCCACCCTTGAAGCTGGGGTCGGGGACATCACCTTGTTTGATACATGTGGAGGATGAGAACGCCACGTTGTAACATGCAATGAGAACGCCCGGTCGACCCTGCCCACTTCTTCCAAGACAGGTCGACCATTTGTTTGTGCTATGTTCTTCCCCTTGTTCAACGTTCGCGCTTTTGGATTCTGACATTCTTCAGAGGGTCACCTCCAATGGCCGAAACAGTGCACCTAAAGTCGCCGATTGAGGGTCGGATTTGGTGTGCCCATTCTCCGCTCACTCAATTGACTCAGACTGTTGATGAACAAAACCCGAGGATGTTTGACCATCCAGGCAATGGATGGATTTATGAATAAACAGATCTGCATTATAGGCTTACAGGGTCTAATCCCCACCTTCACACGACGATCATCCTTCAGCTCCAGGAATTGAACATCACCTTCATTGGCCCCTGCTCGCCTGTGATGCCGCCTGGCCTGAGCATACGAGGCGAAACCAGAAACCTGACTCCCGGGCAGTTTGAGTAGTCACTGTCCATACCAACAGAGGTTGAAGGACTCTATGTAGACTACCCATGACTATCCTATAGGATCTATAGGTACGCCAGGTAACGAGTCCTATAAAGTCGCGTAACCTCTCTTGGCACGCAGGACTTTGACGTGTCATCCAGGTAGTTATTCGTGGTCTGAAACGGACCGTCGAGATGTCTTTGATGCCTGTTTTGAGATGTCTTTGGTGTCCAGTTCTTCAAATCTTCTTGCTGTCCATTCCAGACTGGGCCCTGCCTAGACTGGGCCCCCAGTCTATCGATCCGAGCGGAGCTGTCGAGCCAAGCGGTTCCGCAGAGACGAGACCTCTCGCGCAGTTTGCCAAGGGCGGGGAAGTTTGCCATCCCGTCCTTTCGAAAGCTTTCGAGAGGGAGGTATGAAGCTCCTTGAGAGCAGAACTTGGGCCCGTGGATGCTTTTGATTGGGTGAGCCGTCACACTGTGGTTCCGTTGGCTTTGGTGGTACTGTGCAGCCCAGCCGACAGCCAGGCATTTGGGCTTGGCAGTTCTCAGGCGACAGTGGCGACCAGGTGCATTCCATGTGGTGCACTCGTTGAAACTCCTGGAAGGCAGAAACCAAGCAGGTCCTTTGCACACCCTTGCAAGGCATGTGGTGATACTCTGGTGCTTTCCGACCACACCTTACAAGATCTTACAAGCCCATTCCTTGCTGCAACAGGCAGTTTTTTCAATTCTCCGCCGGTCCCAGGTACTCATCAAGAGGTCTCAGGCACTCATGGGTCATGGGGCCCTGGCGCTCATGGGACCCTCGCTTTCGGTGGTTGATTTCAGGTCTGGGGCATATCATCTCTTCCAGTCCCCTGGGTCTTCCTGTGGTTGAGCAGGGCATATGATGGCATACCCAAACACTCCATGGGACTGGAACCTATACCACCTAATTGACCCCTGTAATCATCTGTCATGAACCGCCCCTTTTCTCGGCAAATATGGCGCCGTCCCAGACAGGTCGTGCTTGGCATATGTATATAAGTTCTTCCCAGACCGATGCCGAGAGCCGCTCGACTCTCCTTTTTGGGCCGACTGAAGAACGCGAGCACCGCTCGACCTCGACCATTCGGCCGAGTCGGAGGTTGGACGCTGGTGGCCACAGCGCTTGGATTTCGTCAGGCCAAGATGGCCACCTCATCGGTTTGAACTCCCGCGCGGCGTCCGAAGGATTCTCACGGTGACATCGGAAGACAGGCATCGTTCGGCTCTTGGGAGGGAATACCACACTCTTCGGCTGGCAGGGAGGCAACAGTGGCCACGCTGGGTAGGCGGAGAGCCGTTGTGTCGTGCGGCACTTGTCGGGTTTCAGAGAGAATGAAACATGCCAAACGCAGCAGGTGACGACGCTTCCCCCAATGCCAAGAGTAACGCCCTGAGCCTATCAAAGCGCAACAACGGCACCCGAAGCGATGCCAAACGTGGCCCACGCCCACACTGCGCAGCAAAATCCATGTATACGCAGCCGTTGTTCTTCCGCAAACACCAAACAACATCATTCAGGGACGCAACTTGGTGCCTTTTTGCAAAAGGGGAACACTTCTCCATCCATCAATTGTTTGGGATGTAGGTCCTGTAGGATCCCGTAGGTCCTGTAGGTTTCGCCTTTTTGTTGTGGGGGGTGGGGAGGCAAGCGCGGGGGGAAGGCTCATGACGGTCCTTCTGGAGCATGGTGACCCCCAGGTCTGTCCTGGGCGATAAGATTGCCGCTGGGATTTTGGCGCAAACCGCAGGCGACGGGCGGGTGGGCGGTGGGTGACAGGTGGTTTAGCACCCATCGCCATGTGCCAACTGGGTAGTCTTGGGTAGTCTTGCCTGTCACCGACCAGTGTGTGTGTCTCTGTGTGTGCGCGGGTGTGTGTGTGTGTGCGTGTGTGTGTAACCCTTGGAATCATAGTGATCCTTTTGGATTTTTCAGGTTTGCCTTTCTGTTTTGTTTCACAGCAGGGGGACTGTCTACCCCGCAGAAGTGACAGTCCAACGAAGAGGCTTCTGTGGTGGTACTGATATCACTGGAGACGTCCAGTGACGTACCTGCAGTTTTTACCTGAGAAACTTCATCTTGGGCCCTGCTTCTAACTAGAACAAGGAATCCAGCCTTTGCAGCGGTTCTTCATCCGCAGACTCTGCACGTTCCGTCGTCCTTGTCGCTCGACTGTTTCGCGGTTACAATTTGGAACCTCGGAGCTTTTGGAAGATTCTGAGACCTTGACCTCGTGGAGATTTGAACCGCTTCATTTTACCCACCCTTTTTTCCTTAGGCTTTTTACTTAGGCTGGCGTGTGGCACCGCTATCAGTTCCGTATGCATATCCACAAGTGTGTTTGGCCTCGTGCCAACCCGGGATGAGCCCGCAGAGTGCCTCCCGTGGACCCGTTGAACGGGGGTTTGTCCATACGCAGATGTCCGCAGCGGACAGTAGATGGCTTATGCCTCAAGAAGTGGGATGTTTGTCTCATCTTTGGAATTCCAAGTTGGCTTATGCCTGTACGTGACCGCAGCGGTCAAAGCAGCCAGCCATTTCGGCAGGGCACAAGGTGACCACAGCGGTCAAAGCAAGTTTAAGGTCCATTGGGACCTGTTGGAGCCTTAGTATCTCAGTTGATTCCTCCTTCTCCGCTCCCCGCTCCTTTGGTGTGTCCCTGGACGCTTGTTTCGTAGCTGGGAGCACCTCTCTCTCTCTCTCTCTCGCTCTCTCTCTCTCCTTTTCTTGACGGGTGTGTCCTTGGACGCTTGAGTGGTAGCTGGGAACACCATCGTCTCATTCCTTTTCTCGTTTGGTGTGTCCTTGGACGCTGGGCTCGTAGCTGGGAGCACCTCTCTCACTCTCTCTCTCTCTCTCACTCTCCCTCTCGCTCTCTCTCTCTCTCACACTCTCTCTCTCTC